TTCAGACCTGCTGTTGGGACTCCAGAGGAGGTCACAAGGATGATCACAGGGCTGGAGCACCTCCTGTGTGAAAATGGTCTGAGAAAGTTGGGAGAAGAGAAGGCTGCTTGGAGACCTCATAGCAGCCTTCCAGTATCTGAAGGGGGCTGTCCTGGGTTCAGCAGTAGTAGTCATTTTTCTCCTTCTTAGTAGCTGGTGCAGTGCTGTGTTTTTGACTTTCAGCATGAGAACAGCGCTGATAACACCGATGTTTTTAGTTGTTGCTCAGTAATGTTAAGTCTCACCAAGGACTTTCTGAGTCTCATGCTCTGCCAGGGAGGAGGGGAAGCCGGGAGGAAGCAGAGACAGGACACCTGACCCAAAGTGACCAAAGAGGTATTCCATACCACAGCATATCATGCCCAGTATATAAACTGGGGGCAGTTACCCGGAGGGCTAGATCACTGCTTGGGTCGGGCTGGGTATTGGTCGGCGGGTGGTGAGAGGTTGTATTCTCTTTCCTTGTTATTTCCCTTATCATTATTATATTGGTGGTAGCAGAAGTGATTTGCGTTATACCTTAGTTACTGGACTGTTCTTATCTCAACCCGTAGGAGTTACATTCTTACCATTCTCCTCCCCATCCCTCTGGGAGCAGGGGAAGGAAGAAGAGGGGGGGAGTGAGCGAGCGGCTGTGTGGTTCTGAGTTACCGGCTGGGCTTAAACTATGACAGGGGCCTACAAGGATGCCGGAGATGGATTCTTCATCAGGGACTGCAGTGACAGTACAAGGGGCAATGGTTTCAAACCTAAACAGGGGAAGTTCAGGTTAGATATAAAGAAGAAATTCTTTACTGTGAGGGTGGTGAGACACTGGAACAGGTTGCCCAAAGAAGTGGTAAATGCTCCATCCCTGGCAGTGTTCAAAGCCTTAGGCAACATGGTCTAGTGTGAGGCATCCCTGCCCATGGCAGGGGGTTGGAACTAGATGACCTTAAGGTCCTTTCCAACCCTAACTATTCTATGGTTCTATAAACTCTGTAACTCTGAACCCAAAGAGTGTCTGCCTACAAATCCTAGGCCATATGGGTGACCAGAGTTAGAAGTCCGCATAGCTCTGTCATGCCTGCCTGTTTTTAGCAAGGGGCTTAATATACAGTGACTCCTATGTCAGGCAGTCACCTTGACCAGGAGCAGAAAAGATTGAAATGGAGCGAATTGGGCTGAAAATTTTACCTAGTAAAAACAGATAGGGATAGAGTTTTGGCCAGTGGGACAGCACTCGCAGCAAACTTCACATGCTTTCATGGCATCAGCAGACCATGTCCTGAGTTGGCACCCTTGTGAGACAACAGTCTTGGGGCTTCTTGCTATCCAGGAAGTCAAATTTCAGTAAAAGTTATTTAAAATTAGCAACTGGAACCATGATTCTGATCGCCAGCTGGAAAGCCCATGTTTGCAGATTAAGCTTCAGCCTTGTCCTGCATGGGAAGTGAACTGGAACCACTGATGTGCAGCGGGTAGTATGGTGCTTTTTGTCAGTCACATTGCTTTACCAGGTCTAGCTTGTTTTAGTCATTCTGTATTTGAAAACAGCCTATTCAGGTTTTTCACGTTTTTTGTATTCTTACTGATGCCAGTGAGTGTATTAACCGGGTGATTTGAATCCAAAGCGGCTGCCTTCCTGTACATGTACAATGCCAGTGCCTGGGGTCTTCTCACTGACCTTCATGTAGGCTGCATCCCTCGGGGCCGCATTTGTAAGAGGGTGTGTTGCCTTTAAACTGATCTGATTAACTGGAGGTCAGAGCAGCACAGATCGTCTCTCAGCAGTGTCTGTCAGGACCCTGAAACTGCTAAATATCTGTCTTCCTCACCTGTTTTTTATCATGAATGTGTTTTCCTCTCCCATCTCTTCCTTGCTGACCTTCCAGCCTCCTGAAGGCAAACAAGAGCAACCACTGGCAGGGTTAGTTGTCCATGTTTAGCCCTGAGGGGCTGGTGAGTGCCAGCCTGCAAAAAGCCTGGCTTGGAGTGTCCTGGATAGCCTGTGGCTAGCCTTGCCCAGCTGGAGCTCACAAACCACCAGTAGGAGATTTCCCCTCTAAATTTTCCTAAATGGCAAACTTTTGTGATGTGCGAGTGAGTGTGAGACATTAACGGAGCCTTTGTTCGTTAAACCAGAAAGCATCCTCTGGCGTGATGGGGCTTGCAGTTTGCTGGGAGCAGAGAGCTCATCTCTCTGCGGCAGGAAGGGGCTTGCTCCCTGGGACAGCAGCCGCCCTGCGCCTGGGAGCGGGTGGTGCTGGCAGGGCCCTGTGAAAGGATGTGCTGCTTCCGCCCTTCTGCTTCCTGCAGTGTCCGGCTGTGTCGGTCCTGCTGCTGGCAGCAGGGCATGAACAAGGCAGGGAAATAGCATCCCTGAGCACAGATGCCCGGCATAATCCCATTTGCTGGCTATGACCATGGTTAAGTGAACCATGCCCACTGCGACACCCTTTGCTATAGGCATCATGCTGGCTGTGCCAGTCTCCTACTGAAGGTAGCACTGAGGGGCAGAGGGATGGGCAGGGGGAAGCAGGCATGGATGTGTGCTGGGGCCAGAGGCAGCTCTGAGGGAGCACTCACTGCAGGGAAGAGGTACCCACATTCAGAGGAACAGATGCACTCTCCCAGCTCCTACTGTGCTGCTCCGGTGCCTGCCCCCTGCCTTTCCTACTGCATGGGGAAGCTGTGCCCCATGCCTGCTCATGCCACTGCATGTTCCTTCCTGTGCTGGTTCCTCCCATTCTTGCCTCTTCCTCCCACTGCAGAGCGCCCTCCAGGCTCTCCCTGCAAGCCGCTCTCTCGATCGGGGAGGCTTTGGCCCTAGCTGCGGCAGACGTCTGCAGGACCCGTGGGGCAGAGAGGGTGGGAAGCTGAGCAGGCACACTAGGGTAAAGCTGGGAACCATGAGGGTGCTGAGGGTATGGACAGATTGATCCCAGTGCTGGAGCCTGAGAAATCACTGCCTTCTTTCTCCTTGTGCAAGAGGAACATGCAGGCTTACCCGTTTAACCTGAGATCAGGAGATCCCTTTGCATCCTGCCTGTGATGCCAGGTCATACAAGGTCTTACCTCCATTGTGCTGGCAGCAAAGCATCCCTGCTGCCTCTGGGGATACACCAAGCACCTCTGCCTGTTTGGCTGGTTTCCTTCTTGCCGTCTTCAGCCTTGAGGAAGCACACATTTTGTGGAGCAGCACAACTGAGCTAAAGCAGCTTCTAGATCTGTAAGCAGCGAGTAAGCTGTACACCTGGAGCATTGTTTCTGCCTTTAGTGCAGTCACATCCTGGGGTATGCACAAGGTTGATTGGTACTGCCACTGTCTTTCAGAGCTCTAAAAGTCACTTGTGTCTTTTCTCACAGGGCTCTGTGAGGGCACTGTGACACACACACACGGAGACATGTACATGTGTGTGTCCTCAGAGGTGCATTGGGCATCTCTTCAGCAAATGCAAAGAAGAGATGGGAGCTCTAAGGCACATGTGCCAGTGAGTGCATGCACACACATATGTGTTCACACCCATGTGGAGTAGAGGCAGAGGGTACACCAGCCAAATCTCTAAGGAGTGATCCTCAGCCTGCTGTTTATGGTGAAGACCTGCTTTATGTGCGGGGGCCTTAGCATCCCTGCCCCCTGCAGAGGCTTCAGTGGGAACAGGGTTTGCCTGCAAAGCCCAGTTTATTAGCTCACCATTACTGGGAGCAGGACATGGCAGCAAGAGAGGTCCTTCTGCAGACCACTACCGTGCTCACTGGGTTTTTGCAGCCAGCCTGTTCACCAGGGCTGGGGCTGCTGGAAGCAGATACCACAGAAAAGCCAGCTTGGATGTAAAGAGGAGGCATGCACAAAATGTCTGTGATCCAGTGCTGTAGAGCCACGTGGCAGAGAGGCCCTGGCAAGCAATGAGCACGTGCGTGCAGGCACGTGAGCCAAAGTCCTGCGGAGTAGGTCTCATTGGCCATATCAGTGCCTGGGGCTGTCGCTGCCCTTTCTCACTGAGTTCAGCTTTGAACAGCTATCTCAGTGGCTGCTGTCCTAGCTGTGGTGCCAGGAGGGCTTCCGGTTTTACACACCAGTTTTGGCATAGATTATTTTGGCAGTTTCAAAACCTGCCGCTGTTGAAACCATATGCAGGAATTGCCAACCACCATGCAAATCTGGATATGCTTTTTGTAGCAGTTCTAATGTGGGGCTTCTAATAAATAACAGGCATGCCTACAGAACACGGAAAATAGGAGAGAAAGAAAAAACAAGAACAAGGGTTTTGTTCACTTTGCATGTGTTTGAGCCTTGGTGTAAGTAGTTGTGTTGGTAGGAGAGCAGGGTTGTTTGAGGAGTGCTCTTCTCTCAGAGCTGTGCAGGATGGGTGAGAGCACAGAGGTAACACTCTTCTGTAGGCTTGTTTTGTGGCACACATGCCAGTGGTAGCACTGCTTCTGCTTTGCCAAGCAGATAGGATTGTAATGATAGGACAAGGGGTAATGGGTTCAAACATAAACAAGGGAACTTCAAGTTGGATACAAGTTAGAAGTTCTTTACTGTGAGGGTGGTGAGGCACTGGAATGGGTTGCCCAAAGAAGTGGTAAATGCTCCACCCCTGGCAGTGTTCAAGGCCAGGCTGGACAGAGCCTTGGGTGACGTGGTCTAGTGTGATGTGTCCCTGCCCATGGCAGGGGGGTGGAGCTGGATGATCTTAAGGTTCCTTCCAACCCTACCTATTCTATGACTCCGTTGGTGTCAGTGACTTGGTTGGGGTCTGATACGAGTAGGCTACAGCACTTGCAGGTTTGCTCTGAATTCTGTTGTATGGCTGCTCCAAGCTTCACCATCTCCGTGCACTGCTGGGATGTTGTGTGCATCCAGCCCTCTGTGTTTAAAGAACAAAACAAACCAGGAAAACAAACGTGTAAAGGATGGGTGCTCAGAGAAGCAGATCATGTGTGCTAAGTTGCTTTGTGCTGTGCCTCTCTTCCAGTTGGTGCGCTACGTGTGGAGTTCTCCCAGCCTGTGAACCTGGACGAGGTGGCGAGACTAAACCCAGAGGTCAAAGCAGGAGGTCGTTTTGCTCCAAAGGACTGTATAGCACTTCAGAAAGTAGCAATAATCATACCATTCAGGAACCGAGAGGAGCACCTGAAGTACTGGCTCTATTACCTGCACCCAATTCTCCAAAGGCAACAACTAGATTATGGAGTGTATGTTATCAACCAGGTAAGATGCTCAAGGCATAGTCAGGCCTTTATACCGCTATGATTAATAGTGTCTGTGCCCTGTGAAACAGAGGAGTGGTTTCTTTGTCCTCAACAGCAGTGGTGTGGCAGGCAGGGGTAAGGTAGCTTTAGAAAATAAATAAGAAAAAAAGAAAAGTGAAAATTAACATGAGCAATTTGAGCAATTTTGCTTCAGTGATTCTGATGGAAAATCTGAGGCCCTTTCTTCTGGTCAGGCACAATTCACTCTAAAGAGCTTCTGCTTAACGAGCCCACCTGGTGAGGAGGGAGAAAATCCCTAATGACACAACCCAATCTAACAATCTGCTACCTCTTTCCAAATGGTTCTTTTTCCCAACTGCTGCAGGAGTTGCATACAGAGATTTTTAAGGTGATACGGTAGCATTAATGCATAATCTGGCATTGGGTGTGTCATAAAGCTGTAGGATTTCACTTTCTTGAGCAACTTCTATTCTTGTTAGTAATAGTACACAAAATGTCAAGATGAAGAAAGAAAAGCTGTGGCAGTGGAGTCAGGTGAGTGATCTTCAGGTGAATAGAACACAAAAGAAACAAGGGGCTTTTTTGTTGGTTTGTTGCTTTTTTTTCCTCAATATCTGATGGCCTTAGACCTGTCTAAGGAAAGAAAAAGGCATGTTTCATTCCAAATAAGCTGTCTTAATTTATACTGTAATGGTGGTTAAATAATTGAGTGTTGTCCACACCTAGAGAAGCCTAAAATGTATAGGCATTTGCATGGGCTGCAGTGTGAAAGGGCAGATGTAGTTCTGAGGGCCCCGGAGGAGACTGCCAGCTGAACAATCTCACAATACAGTTTCTCTTTTGGATATGTATTTATATCCTGTGTTCTCAGCTCTGTGGAAACTGGTGTGAAATAACATGATTCTTTCAATGTAACTCCTTAAATGTGTGGACCAGCTGATGTGTTCGTGCATATCAGACACCATGAATACTGAAAGTGGTCACCCAATTCACAGAATTGAAAGTAAGGGGAGACCTTTTTCTAGAGAGGAAACCAATACTCCATAACTACTATTTCCCTCACTTTGCTCATTTCCAGGTGCCAGAGATCTGGGCAGAAGTGATTTGTGGGGAATTAGTGATAGCTCCCAGGAACAGCAGCCAAATTGCTCTGGTGTCTGCAGCCAGGTGTGCTTGTGGCTGTGCTGCTGAGGACACAAGGTGTTTCTGCAGCACACTGTGCCCTAAAACTAAGCCCTATAAGTGTCCCTTCCTGTGTAATACAAAGAACATCCGGTGCTGCTGCAGACCAGCAATGCAGGGCCAGCCCCAGCCCTTCATCCTTCAGGCTGCATTCCTTGCACAGCAACATTTGCCTGTGCAAGGTACTGGTGCCACAGGGCTGCTTGAGCCATTGTCCCCACCAGTCACTGGGTACAGATGGGTGATGGTGGCAGGGCAGTGTGCCTCGCTTTCCTGAGTGTGGCTTGGAAGCAAGGTGTGTTGCCAGCAGTGGTCCTGCAGTGGTTTTGCAGAGGACCAGGTCTGGGGACAGTGCTTGTGAGTGAGCAGCCGTCTCTACTGCAAAGAGCAGCCAGGGCAGGCATTTCCCCATGAGTGATGTTCAAGGATAAGGAAAGCAAGGGGCCCAGTCCCATGGGGCTATGCTGGTGCCTGTAAAGGCAGGCAGTGTCGTCTGAAGCCCGGTTGGAGTTCCTGCTGCTGCTGCAATGCTGCATGCTGGCTTGCGTTGCCCTGCATTGCTGGCTCCTCCTCTTCTCTGGTCCTGTCCTCCAGCACTAGGGCTGTGGGGCTGTCTCTGTGCTCTAAAGTAACACTCACTAAAATTACTGAAGCAAATGCTGTTTTCAGATGCATTCTTTGAGCAAAGTTGGGAATGAGAGAGAGTGATACGCAGTAGACAGGCTATATACACCCTGGACACATCAAGCAGTCGGATCTAGGTTAGTAAGTGAGACTACTTGATCTGTAAATTAAACATGCTCCTTCTGCATGCCCCTAACAAGTTATGTCTGGAAGAGGCAGAGTGATCAGTGGTAGTAAACCCACTGGATGTGTCTCTCGAGGGTGAGTGGAACACTGAATGTAGAGAGTTGCAGAAAATGTATTAATTCTGCCAGAAATACAGTAGGAAAATGGTCTTATTTCTCTGCTGTCTTGACAATTGCTTTTCTCTTTTTCTTGTCTGTCTTTCCCTTTGCATCTGCCCTCGTTTTTGTTGTTTTTTTTTATATTTTTCCTTTTAGTGGGGAAATATTACCTTTACTTGTTAATCCTGTCTATATCAAAGCAATCACTGAAGCAAGGAGACTTACTGTGTGATCTGGTTCTTACGCGCTGCCTACGTGCTCTTCTGTGCTCTGCATCTCATAGAAAGAAAGAGGAGCGCTGAGCCCTGCTACTGCTGCACTGGTAATGTCAAACTTCTTCCTTTCAGCGCAATGTGTTTCTGTCACAAGTCTGTCCTGTCTCCAACATGCTGTTCTTGCATGCCCGAATGCCTCAGGGCAGGACTTGGCTGAAGTAAGGGGGATAATGTTTGTAAATGTAACAGGAGCCAGTGGAAAAAGTATATATTATGCTTCACCCTCCTCACTCACCGCAAGCAAAACCCAGGCCTGACGCATGGAGTAGCAGTTGTAGGATTTTCCAGAGACGTGGACATGCGGCTGTACATGCTTTCTGTAGCATCCACTTGCTGCCATGCAAGCTTGACTGCACTGAACGAGAAGGCAGTGGTGACTGTGGTACCGCAAATGGCTCTGCAGCCAGACTGAAGTTCGGGAGAGTTAGCAAATTCCCTGAAAACCGTGCAGTTCAGTCGTGTTCTGCTGGCCCCTGCAGTGTCCTCAGTAGTGATTTTCCAGAGTGTGAGTGTGTGTACATGTGCCTGCAGAGTGGTTAGGCCATCATACTGATCCATGTTATTCTGCAGGAAGTATCAGGACCCCCCAGGTATGTGGGCAGAGGAGGGAATTGTGCACAGCTCCTTCTTACCCTCTCAGTGGTGGGGGAGGTGAATTTCCTCTGCAGCTCCTTTCTCCTAAGCATCTCCTCGTGTCTCTGTAAGACTCTGGAAATCTGTTTCTACCTGCTACTCAGGACCACTGGAACATGGTCTTTAACAGGGACATCGTGAATCAGGTTGCCATGCCAGATCCCTGACATAGCTAGCAGCCTCCTGTTGGAGGTGCTGGCTCTCTTCTAGCTGGCCAGAAACATGTATCCTCACCAGTACCATCCTGAGACCTGGAGAGCGCAGGATTCCAGTGAGAGAGATGCAGCTACGGGTCCTCTGCAGTGCTGTGCAGTCTGCAGGAGGAATCTCAGAGCTGCCTTCTATATGGAATTGGGTGGCAAGACAAAATTGGGATGGATGGCTTCTTGCTGATTTTCAGGTGCTTTAGCTTGAATGACAGTTCCAAAACTTTTCTGGCGCTTTGGAAGGTCTGGCTGAGCAAACCAGAGTCAGCAAAGGTAATGGATAGGAAGTAAAAAAGCCTCCATGTTCTTTTGTTTGGGCTGATTGTCTCTGGGTGTGAGAATGAGTTAGTGTCAGATCCTGTAGGACTGAGGCAGGAGGTTGTCCCCCTTCAGCCAGTCTCTTGTGGACCACAGAATGGGGATGGACTTGGATGTATTGGGTGAGACAGGGAGAGTGAAATCAGGAGCCACAAACTGGTGCTGGGTACCAGCGCTGAACTCAGACATGGGCTGAGTTTCAGGACAAGATAACATGGGGAAAAAATTGTCAGGGGAGAAAACCAGCAAAAGTGTTCTTGGACTGTATCTCTTCTGGTTGAAAACCTAGGAAGTAAGCATGGATGCTATGTTTAGAGCTTGGCTGCACTGTCAAAGCAGCAGTCAGTCCCTTGCGCACTGTCTGGCTCTTCAGGATGATGCTCCTCTGTCTAAGCAAGTCCAAACTAATCAATTTCCTTGTGACAAATAACAGGGAGCCTCTGTGGGATGAATTGCTGCCAAGCAGAGGCAAGGACTGGAGGTTGCTTCAACTGTGCTTCATCTGTTCGCTGAAGGAGTAGTACTGTGCCTTGTGCTGTCCTGGCAGGGACAGCAGCACAAAAAGGAGATTTCCCAACTTGCTTTCTTTCAAAAAGCTGTGGATCAGTCAGAGATGGAAGTCTACAGCATGTGTCTGGGTTTTGGGAGATCTGAATCTCGGGTACTGCAAGCACGCCAGTGCTTCCACACTGCCTTAGGTAAAGAAACAGAGCTTTATCCAGAAGAGCAAAACCTCTTGTCAGTCTTCTTTCACTCCAATACATGCTGTAGAGCCCTGCATACCTCAACAGAAAACATGCCTCCTGGCATCAGAGAAGTCACCACTAATACTAGCATTGCAAGGCTTGCTGGATGAGCTACCTGCTCACTGTAAAGTTACTAAAAAACGGCTTGGAAAGGAGTTTTCTCATTTGGTTGTGATTTTTTTTTTTTCCTCCTCTCCCCTCCCCCCCCCCCTCCCCTCCCGCAAGCCTTTTGGATCCCACAGTGTGAGCCTGTGTGTCCATTTGAGAGGAGAGCGGCAGTGCCCACATGAAGTGTTTGCTGTGTGTCTGGTCCATCTCCACATAGGGGCCCTGGTGTGGGCTCTGATGGGACAGGAAGGGTCCCAGGTACCTGTGATCTTGTCACTGCACTGTCCTTTGGGTTTTTTCAGGGAGAGGTTTAAAATCAAAGCTCCTCATAGCACTGTTAATCCCTGTCACCTAGAGGAGTCAGAGGCCACCTGAAGGCATGGTTTAATTGTGATTGAGCCTCTGCCTGTAATAATATTGGCGTGAAGCACCCTTTGCCTTGAAATTTCATTATGAAAAGAGCAGCCAAAGGGTATGAAATGAAGACAGTCTTGTCTTCAGGACACTTCAAGCAGGTGCTTTGAGGTGTGAGCATACTGCATTGTGCACCAGCACCAGGAAAAGCGCCCCTTTTGAGTATGGAGCCAGGGCTGGGTTTGATGCCGTGGGACCTGAGGAGCACGGGACAGCTGAGGCTGGGCAGCCCCTTTTGCTGGGGGAAGAAAACCCTCCGATCCCACAGGCTCAGCTGCTCTCTCTCACCAGCCTCTTTGCTCATCTCACCCTCATTTACTGCACTCAAGTTTTCACTGCTCTTACTTACACATGATGGGTGAACATCTTCCCACTTCCTTAGTAACTGCGCGAACCCTTTTGGGTTTTTGGGTGAGGATGCTGAGAATTTGTGCAGGTCCTCTCCCTGAAAGCTCGCTCCTCCCTGTGAAATCATTTATGCCTGAGGCAGGTGATAATGTTAAATGTTAAAACCTTCATTTGAAAGGTATTTGTGGCTGTTTCAAGAACCTGCCTTGGCTCTCTAGCCGCAGGTCCATTAACCAGTCTGGATTAAACACTTTCCAAATTGATTATTTATTAACCAGGCAAAGGCAGCTGGGATGAGGTGATGTTTTAAGCTGCTGCTCCTTGGGCACAGTATTTTGCCTGCCTTGATTCATGTTCCATGCTGGTGTGGGTACCACAGGGTGTGGGGATGACTTGCCCAGTTGGAGGAGAGGGGGGGGGTCCTTTGGCTCAGCACTGCTCAGATGATGTGGAGGAGGAAAGATGGGATATGGTAGAAGAGAAAGGACTTGGCAGTCTTGGTTTCCAGGCTGGCAAAAAGCTTCAGCCTCTTTCAGTGATGTCCTGTGAGTTTCCTTCTGCCTGCTTTGATGCCCTGCACAGGGTTTGGGTTTGAAGCTGCTGCTGCAAAGTTGAGTCCTGGGTTGAAAACCCTTACTCTCAAACCACTGGTATTCTTGGGTTTGTGGGTATGATGTTTTCTCAAGAGTACTCGAGCAATTTGCAAGCCTGTGCTTGTATTCAAAGCCATGTGTGCTTTTGAAATGTGTCTGCCTGAGAGAGGCCAGGCTGATTCTCCACAGGCACCTTGTTTCTTAGGGAGGAGAGCAGGTATTTTCCTGCCCTGCTCCACAGGTCCCTTTGTAAACTGTGCCTGTTCTGGGGTATAAACGTGCCCTGCTGCAGTGTCAGCTCTGTTCAGTCCTTCCTGTCATGGTGACTGCCCTCCTGGTTCCATTTTACCTACAAGGCCCCTGGGACAGGTGGTGGGTCGTGCTGTTCTCGGGCTGGCAGAGCAGCAGCAAAGCCAGGGCTGCGCACCGCAGCAGATGGTGGTGGTTGGTGTGTAAGTCGTAGTCCTTGCGGGAAGCAGGTCACACCGTCCTGCCATCAGTAAACATGGTTGTATGTCACAGCAATGCCCTTTCAAGGGCCTGCACAGCATTCTGCTCTCATGTGTGCACAGCTGCAACAGGGCTCATCACAGGAACAGGAGCTCCTGGTGCCATGCAGTACTTTGCAGATCAGGTCAGGCATGTGCTGCTCAGCCGAGGCCATGCCAGTCCTGCAGCCCTGTTGTGGCAGAGCTGAGGAGGGTGCTGAAATCCTGGGCACAGAAGAGTTTTGATCCATGGTCTTTACCCTGGCAGTAAGCTATAGCACTGCTGAGGTTTCTCTCTGCAGCAAGGGTTCCATCTTCCAGAGGGGCTCATTTCTCTTTGATTTTCTCAGCTGCTGTGGGAAGTCCCATCTGCTTGCCCTAGCGGTCCATAAATCACTGAACTTTAATCCAATTATCACAAAACTCACTCTTGAAATGCCTGTGTGTGGGGTGGGATGGAGGAACTGCTCAGTATCAGACCAGCCCTCTTGGAGCCTTTCACCAAGAAACAGGAGCTGAGCCAGGTCCAGCCTTTCCTCGGCAGTTGCAGCTGCCCCTGCGGTTTACAGCTGACTTGGATGCTGTTATCTTATGGGCAACATTCCAGGGGGGCTCCCTGTGGATGTCCTGTGGGATGCTGTGGGGGGAGATGCTCAGGCTCAAGCTCAGTCCATCACAGGCACACCAACCCCATGCAGTGACACCCGTATCCAGCAGCAGGTAAGAAACTGCTGATGTCAGCTGTTAAATTTAAGTCACTTAACTGCTTTTTTCTTGGTTTTGTTTTAATTTAGGATGGAGAGGAAGAGTTTAACCGTGCTAAACTGCTGAATATAGGATTTGCAGAGGCTCTGAAAGAGTATGATTATGATTGCTTTGTGTTTAGTGATGTAGACCTCATCCCAATGGATGACAGGAACACCTACAAATGTTACAGCCAGCCACGGCACCTCTCTGTATCCATGGATAAATTCGGATTCCGGTGAGATGCCTTTTGGAAGGGTCTTTCATTCTTCATGTTGCTGTTAGGCTAGCAGGCCAGGCACAGCGTTACACATCCCCACCCTCTGTGAAAGCATGGGAAAATGTCTCTTGCAAAAGCCTGTCTTGGCTTGGTGTTCCTGTAGGGAGTGGGTGGCTGCGAGCAGGATGGGATCGGGTCGGATCAGCTGGAGGGGAGAAAAGGGGGAAATGCAGCTGAGTGGTTTATTAACATTCACAGCTTCTGGAAAGTGAAATGCAGAGCAAGGGAAAACTACGAGCCCATAGTTCTGCAGATGCCTGCCTATCCCTTCTTGTGTTTCAGGCTGGAAGACAGCTAGTGTTTCCACCCAGTCTGAAAAGTGAGACACTCACGCAGCGAGAATTATGTGCAGCTTTAAAAAGACTGCATCAGATGCTATTTTAAGAGCAAAATGAAGTATTTTTGGCTGTTCGGTATTGGGCCACTGAGGGAACTGCCCTAATGTCTGAGAGCAGCACAAACGAAATGCCTTTCAGCATACATTTGCACTCCGCAAGCTGCTGTAGACAAAAATGTGTCTTTTCCTTTCTATGTTTTCTTACTCCAAATCACCCGTGGGGAGTTCAGAAGCTCATCTATAAAGTGAAAACCAGTCGTGGCCCCCTGGTGTCCGGTAGTGCTAAAGATGGTGTTGGCAAGACCCCTGCACATCCCCAATCCAGACCCTACTAGCTCTGCTCAGAGCAGGACAATCACCAGCACCACAGCAGCTGCAGTTTCTTCTTGCAGCTAGGTGAAGCTTAGAGCAGAAATGCAGGCCCTGGGAGTTTCCTCTGCTCGTTGAAGTAGAGGCAAGGTCTGCAGTAGGTCCTGGTGATCCCTGCGTGGGCCCTCTCCTCATGCTGTGGGTCTGAGTTTTGTAAGTCCCCAATCCCTTGGTGAATTATCACCTGTTTTGAGCAGCAGCTAGCTGGCTTTGGGCGTGCAAGGTCACACTGATGGCTTACTTTTGGGCTATGAGCTTTCCTTTGGAGCACTGTGGAGCCCCAGGAGCCGCAGGAGGAGAAGGTTCTGCGGCACCTCCAATGCCTTGCTGCTGCTGGGGCATGCATCTGCCCTTTGGTGAGGCAGTGTGCTTCTCACCAGCCTGTCCTTTGAGGACAGCATACTTCTAAGTGAAAGGCTGTGGCCACTGCCAGTTGCCAGCTGTATTTGGGACTGAGCCCACCAGGTCCTTCTGCCTTGTGGTGGGTGCTGGCTGTTTGCAGGCTGGGGTGAAGGGCTGTGGCAAGCCCTGTTTGGGTGGGCAGGCTGCTTCTCGGCTAGCGCCTCTCCTCCTCTAATGTCCTTTTCTCTCTGCTTTCAGGCTGCCTTACAATCAGTATTTCGGAGGTGTGTCTGCCTTGAGCAAAGAGCAGTTCACAAAGATCAATGGGTTCCCAAACAACTACTGGGGCTGGGGTGGCGAAGATGATGACATTTATAACAGGTAAATAAATACCCTCCTTGGCACCTGGAGTGCTTCCAGTGTGGGGATGAGCACAGACCTGCTGCTCTTACCCGGATAAGGGGGTGCAGGATGTCTTTTCACCCCAATCAGGGGAGCCTCCCCTCTGGGTGAGGGAAAGAGGTGGCTCAGTGAAAGCATGCTCTTCCTGCTGGGTGCTGGCACCCCATTTTGCAGCTCCCAAGGTGGGTCCAGGTGACAGACATCCCACCCCTGCCCCACACACACGTCACGCATTCACCACACAGCTTTGGAAGCATCCACACCAATGCACAGGTTGGAGCAGCATGCTTATGGGTCTCTCAGCACTGGCTGAAGAAAGGGGATTTGGGGCATGATGAAAGGAGAAGACTTTCACCCAGTGCAGACCAAGGCTTGCCTGGGTCTGCAGCCTGGTGTCGGATCCCTTTGTTCCCAGGAGAGCTTTGTTTGTTGGGCTGTAAGCAGCTCTAAAGAACACCATGAGCTGTTGCTTCCTGCCCGGAAGGAAACCAGGCAAGGCTCAGAACTGCAAGAGAGGAGGAAGGTGTTTGCATGGGGCAGGCTGGGACCACCCCTGCCTGAAGACCAGGGCAGAAGGTGGACATGGCATCATGCTACCTCATGGATGTGAGTCCCTAGGGCAGTCACTGGGAGTGAGAAGTCATTGAGGGAGCAGATTTGGGAAGCCGTCTTCATGTTTCTCAATGAAAAAAACACTGCATGGTCTTTTCTCAGGGCTTTCCAAGCTTTTCTGGAGTTCCAGAAGGGTCTTCCTAAAAATGCTTTTACCTTCCTGAGGTTCAGCACTTCTGTTTGATAAACCAAGCGAGAGACAACTTTTCAGTGGTGCAGGGCATTCAGAGGAGGGTGGTGATCCTCTCTTTTCGGGACACTATTTTTGAGCAGCAGAGGATGCTATGTAGAAATGAAAACAGAGACACAAAGATGAAGGATCACAGAATGGTTTGGGTTGGAAGGGACCTTAAAGCTCACCCAGTTTCAACCCCCTGCCACAGGCAGGGACACCTTCCACTACACCAGATTGCTCCAAGACCCATCCAGCCTGATCTTCAACACTGCCAGGGATGGGGCAGCCACAGCTTCTCTGGGCAACCTGTGCCTGTGCCTCCCCACCCTCAGGGTGAAGAAACCAGGTACTTCTCTAGCATTGGTGGGCATGAACTGCAGGTGCCTTGCGGAGAGCGTGCAAACAAAGGCAGGCTGTCACTTGCCCAGTGGGTCCCAGCTAGAACCACTGTGGCTCTGACCGTGTGTTCCCCCTCATTCTCCTTCACCACCATTCACTTCTGTTTTCACCAGCACTGCAGTTTTAACATCCCAAATGAATGCTCTTTTGGCTCCTTTCCAGATAGGTTAAAAACTATGTGCCTCCCATACGCATTCCAGCCTTCAGCCTGGAAAAAGATTAACGTGGCCAAAGGCCACAAATGGTGTAGGTCAGCATGCAGTGAATTAGGAGCTCCTTGGTGTTTGCAGGGGGACATCTCTTTTCCTCATGATGATGTGCCTGTGTGGAAAGGGTCTGTCTTTCCCCTGTCTTTCAGCATTGGCAATCCTGCAAAAGGACTAGCAACATCCTTAGAAAAAAAATGCAACCCCCCGTGGTGGTTTATGGAAGAAGTGGGAGAGCATCCCACATCTGTTGCTTGTCACAGGTGGTTAATACGCTTGATTTTTACAGGCTGGTGTTCAAAGGTATGGGGATATCGCGTCCAGATGCTGTCACTGGGAAGTGCAGAATGATTCGGCATTCCCGGGATAGGAAGAACGAACCCAACCCTGAGAGGTGCGTGTCCCTGTCCCGTCCCATAGCCAGTTCAAAAGGTGCCTCCCACCCTTGTTGCTCCAGCTGCTTGGCTTCCTCTTTGCCAGGCAAAAAGCCTCATCACGGAAAGCCTGCCGCCATCCGCTCCCTTGCTGACCTTTCTGTGAGCTGCCCCCTTGCTCTCCTCACTTTACTACATTACTACAGACCTTTTACCCAATATTTCTTCTTTTTTTTTCCTTAAATGCAGCAAATTACTCTCCAAGTAATTGTTTCCAGCTTGTCTTTGGCATATAAAACCTGAGCTCCATTGCAGAGCTGGAAAAGGACCTGTGTGATTTAAAAGCTTGTCTGCTTTTTCCCGGCTAAAATTTTATCCCCTAGAGATGCCTTTGCACACTGCTCAGGCTGGCCAAATCTGGGAGTTTATGGGACCCGTACTAATAATATTCAGGTTGTACTTAAAACACGAGAGATGCTGCCCGAGAGGCTATAGAAATGTCCAGAATTCAGTAGTTTAAATGTTTTTTGTCTTTTTCTTTCTTTGTTTCTCCCACCCCTTCCTTGTTTGGATTTTCCCCACCACCTTCTGCAGGTTCGACCGAATTGCTCACACAAGGGAGACAATGAGCTCTGACGGCTTAAACACCCTATCCTACAAGGTCTTAAGAACTGACAAGTACCCTCTGTATACAAGGATCACAGTGGATATTGGCTCACCAAATAGCTAACATCACAGACAGGAGAGAGACCTTGCCTGTGTGGACCAGGACATCTGGCCTCTCTGATGCTTTATATCTGCTGGGTTTCTAACAGTTGCAATGAACAGCAACAACAACAAAAGGCCTCTTTTGGCATGCCAAAGTGCTTTTATTGTTTTTTTTTTTAAATTCCAAACTTGACTTTACACAACTTTCTAGCTCTCCGTTGTTTTGTAAGTCCAGGAGCTGTATATAGGAGTTGTAAATACTTACTTTGCCAGAAAACGTTGAATCTGATCTGTTTGCTGCAGTGCTCCCCATGTTGAGCTAATTACTGGACCCAAATTGTACTGATTACAACTGTGATGCATCAGCAATTACTGCCCATGACATTCGGTATTTTAAATGAGGTTGTTGAAAACATTCCTTTTAATTCAATCCTGGTTTTATTTTATGAAGGACTGTAAAATGCTGCTAAAATTGTTCAAGTTTACGCTTTGCATTAGATTTGGTTCGGGTTTTTTTTTTTGTTTTTTAACGGGGACATCACCATATATTTTTCCCTTATAGTGACCAAAACAAACATCTCTGAGTGCAGAGCAAGTGTTGAGCAACCTGAATTCACTGAATGCCATTTCTTTTAGCCTCAAAGGAGGCTTTGAATGACTTGAACTGGAGTTTGCCAGTGAGCTCTCCGCATAGGGTAGGAGCTACACAGATGTCATCTGCAAAAAACACTGGCTTCAGACAACCTTGCTTCTGGATGTCACACTGAGTTTGTGCCTCACCACAACATCACCTGAGGTCTTTTGGGGAGGGGTGGGGGAGGGTGGTTGGGTTTTTTTCCCCTGGAAATAAAGATGGGTTAATTGGATTGTGCAAAGAAATTCTGGCCTTAAAATCTGCTGACACATGTTAACAGCGGTAAAAGGTTACCATTTAAACATTGTCTAAAATGAGGTTTTTTTCTTACAAGGTCATGCATAAAACTTGAATTCACTTATTACTCTTGTTGTTGTAACAGTTTAATAACTTTTAAAAGTTTTTAAAAGTAATTTGTATATCATAAGCAATATATTTAATACCAGATTAAACTAGGGTGCAGCATAATAGGGTATGATTCAAGGCCTCTTTTATCTTCAGATGAGTAGGTTCTTTATGTGCGTCATTATTATAAGACATGTATTATATTTGCTCTGTGTATTTGTCCATAAAACCTCCTGCGGTGCTGAGATACTTGCATCAGGGCTGACATCCAATTGGTCTTTCTTTGCCTTAAGCCTGTTGCAATGTGTGTCCTCTACCAGGAAACTCCTTTCTGACTTTCTCAGGCTCTGAGTCTCACGCACGCTTGAAATACTGTTTTTTGTCAGATACCCTGCTTTTCCTTCCCGTGACCGTGTGAAAGCCTCAAGCGCTGACACCCAGGGAGCCGGTTTCAGTGATTTAAAGCTCTCAGCCAGAACCAAGAACTGAATTCCTTCTGGCGAGTATGCTGCCAGCAGCTCTGACCACAGCAATTTGCACTTCCTTGGCCCGTGCTGAAGGCTGTTAAAATCAGGGACACTCATTGTTGGATTGGGGATCATCTTCAGCGCTGCCTTTTTTTTTTTTTTCTGTTTTTGTGGCTTTGATTGGATTTTTGTTGAGACCCGAAGGTTTTGCTGAACCCTGCGCTGCAGGGGTGGGATCCTGCAGGGGACAGGGGACACTGTGTTTCTCATTAGGCTCATTGTATACACGGAGACTTCAATTACTAGGGAGACACCCACTGCCTTTTCAGTCTTGCTTTGAAAAGTTGTTCACTCCCTTTGCTTAGAAGCTGTTGCTGTCCAGACGTGCTGCTTCAGTCATGCTGGGAGCTGAGCAAAGGTGGGCTTGCATGGAGCAGGAGCAAAGCACAAGGAAAGCATATACCATACAGAGCTGCTCACTGGTGTTTATCATTGCATGAAAAACCTGACTGTGCTTTGGCAGGTCAGGCTCCAGTTCTTGCAGGTACAGGGGAGTACAGGAAGAGAATGTGTGGCAGAAGTCAGGTCAAAAGTCTACCTGTAAAACAGTGGTATGGATGTAGTCTGAACCAGTAATGGAGACACAGATGGGGACTTCAGGTTTTATTGGTTCAAAGGTGCCTTAGAAGCGGGGCCCTGCTCCCACAGGTGGCACATCAGCACCAAAACTCATGGAGGCTGGCTGAAAATGTCAGGTCTTGGCAGAGAGCACCTCAGGTTTGCGCTGAGCCCTTTGCAAGTTGAGCAGTTGGGACCTTCGGCTGTAGTGGTGTCTGTCTGTAACAGGCTATGCAAAGGGGCTGCCTGTTGTAACTGAGTGGTTGGTTTGGGTTTTTTTTTCCTTGCCTTGGGATTCTCTGAAGATTAGAGAAGAGTATAACAACTCATTCCGCTGTTTGCTGAAATCATTGGATATTGTGGTGGTGGTCTGAGCACTTGTTTCTGGATGTTGCAATCAAAGGTGTCTACACATGAGTCTTGAAAGGGGGGAGAAATGGAAACTGGAAAACCAGGAAATGTGAAAACCATTTTCAGCAGAGAGGCACTAGCGAGTGAAGAAACTTGCTTAGTTTCTCTTCTGCTGCTCAAGCTGCAAGCCATATAAAAGCAGAAGCTGCCTTTTGTTACTCATTTCACCTTTTGGTGCTGACCCGTGATTTCCAGATACCCCCATGTAAACTATATCAAACTCGTGAAACACTCTTGACTCAATCTGCCCATGAAATTTCTCTCACTGGGATTTTCAGGGGCCTTTCCTACAAACCCTCATGTTGACACAAGTGAATTCTGGCCATAGCCTGTGGTGGGTGGTGGTTTTTCCTCTCTCATACTAGTAACAGCACTCAAAGTGATACTGTGTGTAATGGCTGAAACCCAGAGCAAACAGCTGCAAAGGAAATGGTAATGCTTGGTTTCTTTGGGATGACTGTTGGGATGAAAGAGAGTCCTGGAATGCAGCTTTTCCCTGGGATGTTACTTGTCTACTGGACTGCTTATGGGTTCCCTGTAGATGGTTTTGCTTTTGCATTTTATCATTTCTGCATCAAGGGATGTATAATCCGATGTTCTTACTTTGCTATTCTTGTCAAATAAAGTATTTTCACTTATGCTGTCTGCCTGCATTGCTCTGAATTACCCCTCTGGCTGGGTGGGAGTCTGGTTGATGGGGTGGACTGGGCCATGTCTTAGCTTCCTTGCAGTAACTTCCATAGGTTGAGAGGGACCTCAAGGATGATCTGGTCCAACCTTTCTAGGCAAAGCATGACCTAGATGAGATGTCCCAGCACCCTGTCCAGAGTGTCCAATCTTTTAAGCTCTCTCTAGCTTTCCGCCCCTCTGGCTGTCCCACTGAGTGAATTTCTGCACTGCAATGTTTTTACTGGCGTTAGAAAAACGGGGATCCCCACTTGACGCCAGAAAACCGTAGCATAAGCCATTTACCAGTGGGATGGGGGACAGCACACAAACCCCTGCTGAAACCAGGCAGGGGATACAAGCTCTAACCCAGGCTGTCTGTTGGCTGCTTGGGGGAAACAGGCCACTGCTTGCTCCCCCGGTGCTTGTGGGTTTGGTCTGAGTGTGGAAATGCAGAAGTCATTCCTGGGAAACTGATGCAAAAACATTTGCCTGTGTTCCTTGGCACTTTCTCATGAACACAGTTTCCATGGAAGAGATTCTTCTGGCTGCAAGGCAGTGGCTAAGGCTAAGCGGCTAGCGGGAGTGCTCAGCAGGGAGAGATGAGCTTGCTCCCAGCTGGGGCACAGTGGGCAGAACATCCCCAAGCCTCTCAGTTGCTTGGAGGTAATGATACTGACAGAGGCAGGCTACTGGCCTCTGCCTGTGTCATCCCCCCAGGGCTGGGAATGGGGACACTGGGCACAGTGCAGGAGCATCACTGAAGTTGCTATCAAACCAGGATGCAGTAGAGGGCTGGGACAGGGATGCAGTGGGGCAAGGTTGCTAGGCCCTGTGGCATCTTTCATTGGCTTTTGGACCCTGAAAGGCATTGCATGGGAATTGTGGCCATTTGATTATCACGTTTCAAGGTTTGATATCCATGGACCAGAAACGTGGTCCAATGGGAAATTTCCACTTTCTCATGCTTCTGTCCCCAGACTATTCCATTCCTGCCCATTTCTGCTCAGGTGGGTGAGGATCAGGCAGGACTTGCACAGCTCAGTGGCTGGAGGAAACCCTGTGTGGAAATCTTGTCCCTTGCTGAAAGCAGCAGGTGGGAAGTGTCGCCCTTCTCCCCACTGGTTACCAAGGCTTCCCTGGACCAGATCAGTACGTGCCTTGTAAAGGATTCCTTGACTCCTTTGCTGTGAGACCATACTTACTCCAGCAGGACTTCCTTTCCCACCTCCGGCTCCACGTGCCTGCCAGCAGTGAGGATGGAGCAGAGGTCTCTGACATTTATCCCATGCGTTTAACCTGCCACACCTTCCTGTTCTGCGGCCCATGGGGAAGAAAATTCCCAGTAAAAGTGAAGCTGTTGTTAGAAGGAGGAAAAGGGCTAAGCTGGAGTTTGCTGACTCCTTTCACCCCCTTGGAGCAAGCCTGAAGTGGGTGTGCTTGCCCTCTGCTCTCATTCTGTCTTAGCACAGCAGTGGTGACACTGGATCTGTTCTTATTTGCCTATGTCCCATTTACAGAATGTCTGTGCACACAAGCATGAGACCTGTTTTCTGTCTACGTAAGGCCACAGCCCCACTACCAGAGCCTGTTTTTCTTTCCCATCCCCGGCTCTCAATATTACTACCAGCAACGCAGATGAGCACAGAGACAAGATCTCTGCAGAGTCAGAGGTAGCTGACCCCTCAAAGGCTGCACTAGATCTTGCAGTAGCGGGGAAGACAAGGGGCTGGGGATTGGTCCAAAGCCTGGACCTGTGACTCTTTCTGGTTACCTTCCTGCCCCTCACTTGCTCAAAAATGATCTCCAAGAGGTCTTGCTTCATGTTTTTTACAATGAGAGAGCTTACAGGCTGATGCTTCCCACATCAAGCAAGGTCTGCTACATTGTTTAGCTGTCTATGGTTTTTCCCCTTCCTTACATGCATCTTTTGTTGCATTGTAGTGCAAGAAGCTCCCTTTTTAGTCAAGCAGGACTTCCACTGGAATTCCTGTCTTCCTGCAGAAGGGAA